TGATTACTAAACCGTTATAATAAAAAATTGTGTTCATTTTTTTTTGTGGAACACGAGATGCATAAATAATAACTCAAAAAATATTTTTTATACTTAAAAAATATAAAAGCTGAGATTTTTAAATTATAAATTTAGATATTTAAAAAAAATAATTATATAAAATTATCTTATTGTAATTATATAAAATTATATTATTGTAACATTAATTTATTAAGCTTTAGAAGCTTCGTGAGTTTCCAATGAATATATGATTAAATTTTTAGACTTACCTTTCTTTTCTTTAGATCAATCTGAGAATACCGAGATTAAAGATTCCTTTAAATATTCTCTAATCTGAAAGATTGTTTGGAACATTTCTATTGTTCAGAAAGAGCTAATTTGCTTGCCCTGGCCAAACTAATATCTATTCATAATTAACTACAGTATATCTATTATCTAATAATTAACCGGGAACCGCATACACCGCATATATATGCGAATGCGGTTGCAATATGCATTATTATGGGAATTGTATGTGTATACGTGCAAATATATAATAGTGTACATAATCAAACAACTCATCGCGTACATTAGTTATTATGTAATATCTAAATAAAGGAACAGATGTGCGCTTTCGCAAGCTTCATGTTTGTCAATGTTTTCTAAAATATACTTGGAAAATTCCCAATAATCTGGTCTTTCTTTCACTGTTCTTCTACTCAAGGATTCCATTTCCGCACAATTAAGGAAAGAAAAAACGCCAGACAAAGTAAATAATCTTAATAACGCAGCTCCGAAGGAACATAAAGAAATCGCGATAGCCGTCCCGTAAAAACTTTTGACGAGCTTTTCTTTCGGCTGATTATACGGGAAAGCGCCGAAGTAACGGAAAAACCGCGATAAACTTCACGGGAGGCCGGATCCTCCGCGAATGCCGAGGATTCTTTAATATCGAATGCCGGCATTCCACCCGCCGAAACTCCATGTTTCTTACGCGCACTTTTAGGAAGATGAAACTCCGAATCAGGAAGGAGAGAGGAATGCCAATGGGGGAAACGGGGAAGCGTAGGAAAGCGCTTTCACGACCTCCTCACATTACTAGAACGACGAAACATCGAGACTAGAGATGGATTATTTGTAAGGAATCTCGCTTTCGTGCGCGAGAAGCGGTAGTGTTGGAATTCAATTTTGTAATTGACAAATGTATAGTACATGCTCTTTTCGTGTGCGCAAATCGAATGGCGGGAGCTATTTAATTTGAAAATGATCACCTAGAATTTATCACTTTTATATCCCAATATTTTATGTGAGTATTGTTTTTCATTTTTTTTTTCTTTTTTAATAACTATTCTTTACGAATTTTTAAGCAATTTCTTCGAATGTTCACAATAAAAAAAATCTCGTATTAATTAAAATTTTTACTTTTTAAAAACACTGTCATACTTAACGTGTTTATATTTCATTTAATATTTGCATTAGTTTTTATTTACTTTCTCTGAAAATTGTGATTAAAATCATATTCATAATGTTCTCAAATATTACACTGAGGGAAAAGTGTACTAAATGTTAATAAATATTTCTTAGAGTAGTTGAATACTTACAAAATATAATGTCCATGTGATATAAGAATCATTAAATTGATTTAACTTTGTATTTTTTTATTTAGCAAATATTTCCGTAAATAATGTTAGTATTATTATTTATTGAATTATTTATTAAATTTATTACATTGTTACAATTATTTATTAAAATTAAACACATTTTTCTCTCAGTATAATAAATTGGAAAGCAATAATAACGCAATACATTGATAATAATAGGACTTGAAATGTAAAAATACTCCAAGTGATCGTTTACGTAAAAAAATCAGATAATAATTCCCAAGTTAAACAGAATATTTCACAGCTGCGTGTGTCGCACTATATTTTGTAAGAAAGACGTTGTGATGACCTCGATAAAGTATTGTTTAATCCATATAGCATATTTTTGCAGAAATTCTGGAAACGTTTACAGAATGTTGGGATGTTCTCAAGATGTCCTTCAGAACATCATTTAGAGATCTGTATTGTATAGGATATGAAAAAAACTGTACATAATTCTTTAAATTGAATATAGCATGCTATTATTTTTAAGTTTCATGTGTGAAAATGAAAATTAATTCATTTCTATGATTAGTTTCAAAATAAACATCGTCCATATTAAGACATGCATTTAGTAAATAATAAATTAAATTGATTTAATTACATTTTCTTAAATTAACATGTTAGAACCAATTCAATTTTCACCAATTCAAGTTTCAACATAAATACATTGCCAGTACTAAAAATCTACAGTATATGTAACATGAACTATAGATTTTCAGTACCGACAACGTATATTGAAACTTACTGTAGAAGCAATGACATGATTAAATCTAACTCTTAAAAAATAATTAAAAATAACTCTAACTGTATATAATTTGAATTTAATAGTGTACCCATACAGCACAGAAAGATTGCAGAAATGATTTCAATATTGAAACAATGCAATATTGCATATTGATGGTTGCGAAATCATTGTTGCAAAATTTCAACAATGTTAAGATGTCCCCTTTTTGTTATATTGCAACAAAATTCCAGCAATATTGCAATGTATTTGTATAAATTTTTTACGAAGATTGTAAAATGAAAACTATTTGTATACTATACATATATCTCACTAACTTTTAATTTTTTTACAAATCGCAAATTTCTAGTGCTTTCCAAAAAACAATTTTTTATGATAAAATCATAAAATATTCCAATAAATATAGTATTAATTCTAAAGGATAAATTTATTCGTAAAGATAAAGCATGTATGTGTGTGCTGAATAAACTATAAATATTATCCACATTAATATGATAATACAGTCGCTTGGTAAGTTAATCATGGATTAAATTAATCACAGTAATTCTTTTTAATTCGAAACCATTCCGAGTCAATTGAAATCAATTAAAAAATGACAATATGAAATTTATCAATAAAGTTCAGGCGTTGGTTTATTCTTGCATTCACATCAGACATAAATACATCATCAATCACATAATTAATATTTCGATAAATCGTTTTCAGCAATTTAATTGCTTATCATCTTATCCGATAATGATGCATTGATTGTAATGTTGATCCAAACTCGATATTATATAATCTTTTGACTTCATATTTAAAGTAAATATAAAATTTAGCTAATGAAATGGCAAATAATAGATCAATAAATTTTTTATTTAACTATAAAATGAATTATATTAATTATTATATCATAAAAACGGTTGTTAAACTAAAAGACTGTATTACATAAATATTGTAAAAACTTATATTTTTACATTATTATTGTAACAATTAAAGAATTACAGTTTTACAATGTTTGTAGAATATTACAAGCGTATTACTGACATTTTGTTAATTTACATTTCTATAATACCTCTGCAATATTATTGTACATTGCAATCTGTAATATTGCAACATTGCAGCAATATTGCTTCAATTTTCTGTGCTATATGGGTTACTTTGAAAATCGTGCTCTCTCTCTCTCTCTCTCTCTCTCTCTCTCTCTCTCTCTCTCTCTCTCTCTCTCT